GGTGGGGGTGGAGGTTGTGCTGGAACTAAATAAAGCCATTTTTGTTCAAAACTACTCATTATTATGAGGTGAGCCTGCTGCAAACTAAGCTTGGAAGTCCTAACATGGCCCCTAACAATGTGAGTGTTGTTTGCCCAACACACTGCCAGTCAATTCAAAAACATTTTGAGGGAATTTTTGTCAATACTTCAAAGCCAAGAGATTTCACATAAAAAGTCAGATTTTTTACTTTTCTTGACAAAATCAAAAGATCAGGCACACTGGGCTCTCGTTCTCATACAGCAGCCACAGCAAAAGCCTCCCCTATAGACACAGCACACGAACCTTGGGCTGGAGCAGTCCCTACCATGCCCTACGGCCCCCAGCCCAGGGGCAGCTGCCATGTAACCTTGTGCTTATGGCCTTTTCACTCACGATAAGAGTAACACAATCACATGGTTCAAAAGTCAAAATGATGCACAAAGCTATGCAGTGAAAGGCTCATTCCCACCTCATCCCCACTCTCCCTAAGTAAATACTTTTGTTAACTTCATTTATTTTTCCCCCTTCTTCCTTACACTTTTGTCACTTAAAATATATGCTGGGGATTGTTCCCATAGCAGAACACAGAGAATTTACTTATTCTTGTTTTACAGCTACCTCGTATCCCAGTGGATGTATAGGTCAGTTTATTTAACTAGTCCTGTAGTGGACACAGGTTAATAGTCTTTTCTTTTTACAAATATTCTGCAATGAATAACTATGTGCATACGTCATTTCAGAGGTGATAAACTCTGTTGTGCAGGATAAATTCCCACAAGCAAGATTACTGGGTCAGAGGGTAAATGGGTTTGTAATCCAAAGGTATTGCCAAATTGGCTTCCATATGGGTTGTAGCATTTTGCACTCCAAACAGCAATGCAAGAGCATGTCTGTTTCCCTTCAGTTTCCCCAACAGAATATGTCGACAAACTTTTGCAGTTGTCATTCTGACAGGTAAAAATTATATTTCAGAGCAGTTGTAATTTGCATTTTTGAATCAAGAGTTCTTTTCCTGTGTTTTTAAGAGAAATTTGTATTTCTTTTCCAGAGAACTATCTGTTCCATACTCCTACTGAATTCCTATTTCTGTTGCAGATTTCCCTATTAAATTCTTATCTTTTTAAATCAACTTCTAGAACTGCTATATATATTCAGAAGAGTAGCCCTGTACCTATGATATGAGCTGCAAATATTTCTTTCCAGTTTGTCATTTATCTTTTGCCTCTGTTTATGGTGTATGCGTTTGTTTTTATTGTTTGTGATGCAGTTTTGTTGTTGTGTGTGCTTTTTAAATGTGGTTAAATTTACTTATTTATTGTTTGCTTCAGGCTTTTGAGTTATAGTTTGAAAGAAAGGTATTCCCCATTCCAAAATTAAAAATGAATTTACTCATATTTTCTTCTAGCAATTTTAGAGTTTCATTTTTTAAATGTAAATCTTTGATCCATTTAAAGCTTGTTAAGGTGCACATTGTGAGAAGTAAAACTTTCTTGGGTGCTCGACCTAAGATTTCAGGGAGGATGATAAAGCTACCAGAACATCAATAAGAGTGAGACCTGAAGAATGGGTGAGAGAGAAGCTGATGAGAGGAAGAGGGAGAAGAGGGGTGGTGAGGGAGTAGAGACTAAACAGAAGCAGCATCTCCTGCAGGAGTTCCTGGCAGATGGGTTCCATTACTCACTGGTACCCAGGGCCCCTTTTATTACTTTTCTCCAAAGTACCCACTTACTTTTAAAGATTTAATGTGTTTGGCTGTACCAAACTAACTGTACTTAAGTAATAATTAGTTATGTTGCCCTTTTAACAAAGTCATTTACAGCTGCCAAACAGGTTCCGGTCAGACTGTGCTAACCAGAATGACCACGCTGAGTTGATATACTTTCAGCCAAAAGCACAGAACTTAGAAGTGTCAGTTGGCTTAAGAAGGCTCACCTTGGATAAATGAGCCATTTTGGAAGACTTTTTGAAATGCTGAAATTAGTCTGCATACAGCTTACTTCTTTGTTCCTAGATCTCTAAGGACATGGGACTTCTGATTTCACCCTCATTCAAGACCTACTGGTGCTATGTAAAAGGCCAAGGGAAAGTGTAGACTTCAACCTTCAGAAGTGGGCACATTGAACTCCATACTGTACACTAAATAGTTCTCTTAGCAGCTTTTCTACTCAAGGTGCCCTGAGAAAGTTCTTAAAAATTGTTTCCTCATGTGAATAATGCTCTGTTCTGAGAAAAACAGAGAGTAAAAATGAGAAAAATCTGCAAAGGTGAATGGTGAGAGTGTTGCTAAAATAAAGTATGTAAAGGGCTTTTCACCAATTAAGTTGGTTCCTCTGCCCAAAGTAGAGTCCTCAAGGGAGAGCTGATGAGCGTGAGATGCTTAACACAGCTGACCGTCATCAGGAAGGCATGCCAAGGTCCTTTGTGTTGGTGAGTGGGCACCACCCTTATCAATTAATTCAGAATTTCTGGGAGGTGGGGCCTAGTCATCAGTCATGTTTAAACTCCCCATATGATTTCAATGTGCAACCACTGCTCCGAAACGGTGTTATTCAAAGTGTTTTTCTCAGACCAGCAGCACTGATGTCAGCGGGAACTTGCTACAGATGCAGAAGTTCAGGGCCCAACTTAGACCTTCTGAATCAGAATCTGTATTTTAACAAGATCCCCAAAATATTCACATGCACCTTAAAGAAGCCATGGTCTAGAGGAGCTTTTCTCAAAGTGTGGCACCTAGACCACCTGTATCAAACTCATCAAGGGGTTGGGAAGATGGGGGAAATGGGGATCAGGAAGGAAGCCGATTCTGGAGATTATAATTCTACAAATCTGAGGGTGGGGCCCTGAAATCTGCATTTTTAATATGTTCCCAGGTGATCCCTAAGCCTACTGTTTGAGAACTACTCCCAAGAGGAATATGATAGTGGCTTTCTCCTGGCCTGCATAGAAAGTCCCTCAGTGACTCCAAAAGGTCAAAGCACACCCACTGCAAGTGGAAGATGAGTTGGGGATAATCTACAAGTGCTTCTCAGCCTGACAAATGTAATGTTTCTGCTGACTTGCAACAGAGCAGGTGGTGGTAGTTAAATCAGCTTTCATATTGACACAGAAATGAGTCTCTGCGTTCTCTTGGGTTAGCGACTGAACAGGATGCAATTTGGATACATAAGCCTCTACCTTAAAAGCAGGATTAAAAATATAAAATGTTGATGTTCAGATGCATCCTTCTCAGACGATTTCAAAAACCCCTCAAAATGCGTGGTGGAGAGCCAAGAAAGAGTGAATTCTCTTAAGGAGATTTCTTCATTTTACAGAGTTCTTTTTTTCGAAATTTTTGCTTGGGCCCAGATTTCTAAATGATAACGAGGGTAAAAACTGAATCCAGGAATGGAAAATGTGATCTTTCTCAAAAGATGTGTTTGAAGTGTGTAGTACTTCCATGTAGTTTTACTTTATCTTTTTTATATAAAATACTCCTTGATTGATTGATTGATTTTTGGCTGCGTTGGGTCCCTGCCGCTGCCCACGGGCCCTCTCCAGCCGCGGCGAGCCAGGGCCACTCTCAGCCGCGGTGCTCGGGCCCCTCATTGCAGGGTCCCCTGCCGCCGCAGAGCATGGGCTCCAGGCGCGCGGGCCTCAGCAGTTGTGGCTCCCAGGCTCACTAGTTATGGCTCACGCGGGGGCTCCAGAGCGCAGGCTCAGCAGCCGTGGTGCAGGGGCCCAGCCGCTATGCCGCATGTGGGATCCTGCCGGACCAGGACTCGTACTCTTCCCCCACCCTCCTCCTCCCCTCCCCCCTCCCCCCTCTCCCCTCGCATTGGCAGGCGGACTCCCAACCACTGGGCCACCAGGGAAGTCCTCCATGTAGTTTTAAAAGCACTTCAGCTCATGTAAGATATTTTTAAACTTCTATAACAGGTTTAAGTGGATTTATCTTCAAATACCTAGGATTCCAAAATATGGCTCGCACTTGACTTGAGGTGACAGAACTGAAATCTTTGTAATTTTAAAGTGAAATAAGACCATAGTGGTTGTAACGGATAATGAAATGAAATGGGGAACTGCAATGTGATCTAAATGTATAATTGCTGAGTTGAAATCAGCAAAAGCAAAGAAAGTCAACACTAGAAAAAAGATTTCTGAGGCTTTGCTTTAAATACTTTTTTTAACAGCAGTGTTTCTTAAACCTTCTGGGGGTAGTGCAATGGAGCCCCTTTGAAAATCTAACGAAAAGCAATGGACTCTCCCTAGATGCACGTGCCTGCGAGAGCACATGCTGACATTTTCTGAAGTTCCATAGACTTTTTAGAGCCCATATGATGAACCTCAGCTTTGGCATTGCGTTTTAAGAAAATTGCTCTATGTTCATTTCCACTATTTGTAAGCACTTTAGACACAAGATTAAGTTTCTCCGTAGAAAGGTCCCGGGGTTGGTAAAATTAGGGCTGATTGTTTTCACTTAAACAGAGACTATTAGGTCGGCAGTCTTGTGCTGATGAGCCGAGGCCAGGTGAAACGCCAGACCACTAGATCATGCCAGGGAAAGACTCCCTTTATTGAAGAAGCCTGCGCTCTCGCAGAAATGCTACCTCCGTGCTCTCAGGGGGCCCCTACGAATTGCACAGGCACAGCCCGGGGCTGCTGTGGCTCCTGGCACACCAGAAGGTGAAAACTTATGTCCAAAGTTAGGAAGCAGGCTCTTAAAAACACTGCCTACTCCCCTCATTTATCTGCAGAATGAACGACGTCAGAGCTGGAAGACTTACCCCTTCACTCCCTCCCCCATTTAACAATGAAGAAACTGACCCCAGAGGGTTAAGGTGCTTGCCAAGGTGACTTCCCCAGAGGGCTCACACCCAGGACCTCTCCCCACGACACCTTGCCATCTGGCCAGGGGAGGAGAGGGCGTCTAGGGCTCTCTCCCCACACTGTACGCCGCCCACCCCGGCGGGGGCGTCAAGGGGAGCTGAGACCCCGCCTACCGGCACCATGGAGTAGGTCATCATCAACAGCATGTCGTGGCTCTGGGCGCGGATGTGCTGCGCCGGCTCCCCGCCGTGGCTGCGCTTGTTGCGCGCGGCGCTCACAGGATCTGGCGGTGGCGCGGTCGCCCGGCGAGGTGCGTGACTCAGCTCCGCCAGGAAGGCGCGCAGGGCGCTGTCCTCGCGCTGCTCCCGGCCACACTGCGCCTCCAGCGCTCGCAGCGCCGCGCTTAGCCCGCGCCACTGGCACAGCGAGAACACCGTGCCCGCAGCATTGAGCGCCGAGAGCAGGGCCACGGCGGCCAGGGCGCCGCGCAGCCCCCAGCCCGCGCCCCCGCGGCCTCGCTCCGCGCCTCCGGCCATACTCTGTGCGCCTCGGGCCAGGTCGGGCAAGGCTCTGCCACCTTTCAACCCCGCAGCCTTTATACGCTGTGGGCAAACTGTGGGCTGGTGGCAGCGCCGTGAGTCACGCCGCCCTTTGGCCTGGCTGGCGGGGCGGGTTGGGGACAGTAGTGGTGGCGCCCGAGCAGCCCGGAGGGACAGGCAGGCGGAGAGGGGGAGAGGAGCGAGTGGAGACAGTCCGCGGAGGGGGGCAGGGCTCACGCTCCTGGTGCCCGGCCAAGCAAACCAGCAAACCCGTCTCTCCTTCCTTTTCCCCCGCTGCCCTGCGCGTGGGCATTGCCGTGGCCCAGACGGGCAGAACGAGGGTCAGACTGAGGGGGAGAGCAGGAATTCTTATGGCCTGAGAAGTCGCTGGATTCCACCCCCTCCTCCCCCCACACTGCCCTCTCTGGAGAAAAGGATCAGCATGCCCAGATGCCAAGGCATGTGCCCACTGTCCCTGGGAGGTCTGCTGCTGGGCTGGGTCCCAGGCTGCCTATCATTCCTCCCCAGGGTCATAAGGCCTCATGTGGCCACTGAAGACCCCACTTGATCTTTCCTAGGAAGGGAATGGCTAGAGACAGGGAAACAGCTGGCATTGGAGGGTTAAAAAAGCCACCCATCCAGAAAAGCCCAGCCCTGCATGACAAGCAGGAATCATCTGTGAAGGGAGATTATTCAGGGTGTGACAGGCCAAGAACTCTCCCATGAGACCCATATCTGGGAGGTAGCAAGGTGATGAGAAAAAAACCTCCAGAGTAGAAATCAGGAGAACTGGTTCTAACCCTATCATGCTGCTAGCCAGCGGGGGGCCTTTGACATGTCCCAAGACCACTCTGGACTGATTTTGAGGTGCTTTCTGGCTGAAGGGTTGGGACTCTGGGTCCCTGCTGGACCTTACCTTACTTAGCCTATCTTACTTGAGGGGGCAGTTGCCTCATACCTCCTGGCTACCCCTTCACAGCCCCCATTTCCTGTTAGCTCATTTGCTTGCTGTGCCTCAAGGGCCACTGTCCCCCACTCCCCCAAGTGACTGAGGTCACTTCTCAGTCTCCTCCAAGGACCTCTTCATCCCTATTTTTCTCAGCTTTCTCTAGAATGGCTCTGCCTCCCTGGGGCCCCAGGGCCTGCAGGAGGCCCTGGTGGTGTGGGAAGCCACAACTAGAAGACAAGATTGCGGTTTCCACAGCCCATTATCTCAGAGAAGGAGGTGGCTTCCTGCCACTGAGCCAGCTGGAGCTTCAAGGTTCTGTGTCAAGGTCTGGACTCCTGAGTTCTAATTGGGACATTGACCAACTTGCATATTCTTAAAAGAACATCCAGGATGAGGAATCAGGAAAGCATGAAGGCCTAAGTGGTTCATGAAGGACCTCAACTATGGGGACATGATGTCTGGGAGGGGATGGGGGTGATACAGAAAATGTTGTCCAGTTCCTCCCAACTCCAACATATTATGACCTATTGGAAGAACTGCCATGTGCCCTCATCTCTTTTCATCTAGGCATAGGATGCCAACTGTCAGGCTTAGGACCAATGGGGAGAAGCCATGGAGAGACAGAGTTGGAGGTCGGTCGGCCCCAGTAAGATTTTCATTATGTCACTAAAAACTTACTGAGCGCCTACTGTGTGCTGGGCACAGTAATGGGTGTTGGAGGTACAGAAATGAACAAGACAAGCAGCTTTTTCAGTGTAAGCAGTCGGAGTCCCATGGAGCCTCCTGAGCTTCTCTTTAGCCTAACATTCATACAGTTTCTATTGCCAGACCATCTGTCACCAATGCCCATCATTAATAACAGAGTATACAGCTCCGGAGGTTAGGGGTCACATCCTGTTTAACCCTGTCTCCCCCCAACAACCAGCACAGTCCCTCACTTAAATGGCCATTCAATAATTACCTGTTAAATGAGCAAATTAACAAACGAATGAAAGGCTGTATGGTGAGGGCAAGGCTATGTTAAATGATGTGTGTGTAGTGGTGGTAGGGCTTAAGAATGAAACCCTGCTTATGCCACAGAACAGGCCCCACCTTCCTTGGAAGACTGCCTGTCTAATGGTCAGGAGAGTGAAAGTAGCCTGACACACACATCCCCACCCTTTCTGGTTCAGAGCCCACAGGCAGTAGAAGATGTTCAATGGACTTTAGTGTGGTTGGCTATGGGCTGTCTGAACTTGCTGATATCCATATACTGTGCCTGTGCTGTTGACCAACTTCTTAGTTCTTCCAGATCTTAGTTCTTTAGTTGGGTTATAGTATGCTTAAGGAAGGGACCTCTCTTCACTGTGTCCATCACAGCATGGACTTGTGCAAAGTAGTAATATTTGATGAATTGATTGTCAATGCTTTTTTAGGAACAGAACTTTGAGTGGGTGGTAAACTTGGCCTTTTGTCTGAATACAGTGACTTTGAGATTGGTTATGTGGGGCGCTTCAATCTGTGGCTTCCTAAGCCTCCTGAGACTTTTTGAGAGGCTGATATGTCTATGTAGGCTGCCCTTTCTAGTATTCTCTGGATGAGCTGGTACATTCTACTTATTATTTAAAAATAAAGTTAGCTATTAATCTGGCCTGTTTTGTTGATATAGGGGGTTCAAGATACAGCGAGGACATGGGGAGATATCTGAGTTTCCTTTTCTGGAGACCAAAGAAGCCAAGAACATCATGTGCTATCTTTACGGTGAGAAGTAGTTTTTCCATTAAAAGGCAGATGCTTCGTTTCCAAAGGTTAAATAGAATGGTCCTTAGAAAATGATTCCAGCTGGTTAACTTTAGGGCCCTGGAGAATAAAATCCAATTCAAGAATATGCTCCAACTTTAATTCCATGGCATTTTCTCCTGATTGTGAAGTGAATAATTTTCATTTACTTTAAGGCCTGGCACTTGGGTATTTTGGTCCAAAGGTTGGCAGCTATGTTGTGACTTCTGATGGTGCTTTGCTGCCTCCCCAGCCCCACCCTTCTTCTTTGCCACCGGTTAGGGAGAAAGTCTCTCTAATAATTGCCAGCATGTGCGTCTATCTTCCACCCAACACCTCTGGTTTTAACTCCCCATTTCTACATTTTAACCCCAAGAAACTTCAAGCCACCCAACCAAAGTTAGAAATTCTCTCATTTTCCTTGTTTGTTCACTCGTTCATTCATTTAACGATTCATTTATCCACTTATTCAACAAATCGAGTGGTTACTATCTGCCAGGAACTGTGCCAGGAACTAGGAATAAGATAGAGAGCAAACCCAGACACCATTCCTGCCTTCCTGAAGCCTACAGTCTAAGAGGGGAGACAGATTAACCAAGTACTCACAGATGTGAGGGTATAATTCTAAATGAGATGATGAGATGGATGCCCTGAAATAAAGGAGTGTGATTCTGTGAGATTATATCACCGAGGTACCTGTCCTAGACGTGGAGTGTGGTGCCAGGGAAGGCTTCCCAGAGGAACTGATGGTGCTTGAGTTGGAAACTAAAGGTGAGTCGTCATTAACTAGGTGACAGTTTGGGTGGGAGAGTTGCAGGCAGAGGGGAGAGCATGTGTGAGGCCCTACAGCAGGAGGTACCATGGCTTATTTGAGGAACCATTAAGAAGGCCAATGTGGCTGCAGCATGGAGAGCACTGGAAGCAAGGAGGGGAGGGAGTGAAATGAGGCTGGAGACAGAGTTAGGGGCCAGTCTCTGTGGGTAGGACTTTGTAGGGCTGGGGTCTTTACTGTTAGAGGAGTGGGAAGCCAGTGAGGGGTTTTAAGTGTATGTGTGTGTGGGGGGGGTTGGTTTGGTGGATGACAGATGGCAGTGTTTCGTTTTCAAAGATTACCTTTTCTTGCAGGGTTTGCAGTGGCTCCTGTCACTACAGAAACTATGTATGATCTCTGACCCGCACCAGGCTAAATCTCAGCCTTTAAACCCACTTTTCCAAATGAAATAAGAAAACATTGAGTTCTAGAAAGTGCCACTTTCTCTTTCACTCTACATTTAAAGGTAGTTGAAAAATATAACTGCAACTAACATTTAGATGATTTGGCTCATCTTGATACTAGCTGGGGTTTTTATACAATACCCAGCAGATATCTGCATTTTCTGAGAAGTCAGCCTTTGGTGCTTCAGGCTGAGACCACCAAATCAGGTTATGCCTAGGGTTAGGAATAAGGCTAGATGATATTGCTTCCCTTATGAGATTTTGGTCTAAGTTGATCAGGTAACAGATTTCCACCTATCATAGTTATAGTTTCTTAGGTCTTCGAGCAGCCCAATTATTGTTGGACATGGAGCTATCCAAGGTTGTACAGTAGTGATATCTCAAATTTCCCCTCTACCCTTTCTGTGCTTTGTTTCCTTTGTTTGCAGTAAACATACCCCCCCATCCCATCCTGCCCTTTTAGCACATGGTAGCCAATTGTCACAGACTGGGTTCCCTGGAGCAGATACTGAGATGCAATTTGGGGTGCAAGATATATATTAGGGATCAGCACCTATGAAGGAAAGAAAGAGGAAGCAGGATTGGGCAGAAGGAGAAGTCCAACTCAGTGCAGTTCTGCCAAGCCTTGGCCAGCCCACTGGGAAGCTCTGGATTGAGCATTGCCCATCAGTGTCCTGTGTCAGGCCAGAATGACTGGGCTTCCTCCCTCTTCTCTCTGGGTCACAGGGCAGATGTGGGCTGCCCTGGGGAGGGTGTGGCCTTGGGCCAGGCGGCTCTTGAAGCTGAGGCACACCTTGACCTCACTCCCTGCAGCAAGTCCTTCCTTGAAGGGGGACATGGGCACATCTCCATGTCCACATTTCCACCTGATTAGTGACAGACAGGTCCCCAAATTCCAACATTAGTAGACTCTTAATTGTAACCTTGTCAGACTGTTGAGAAAAGTCTTCTTTTTCATCTGGAGTTATGGCCTTTCAGTAAATAAAAAAAGTGTTTTCAGAGGCTGAAGGAAAAATATGAAGAGGAGCTCCAAGACTGGCTTTGAAATGGCTAAATCCGTGGAAGTAAGATAATACTGCAAAGCCCCACTTAAGAAACTTGAACCGCTGTTTTTGCAAGGACAAAACAAAGCTTTATATGTGTAGAGCAGTTCAGTTTTCAAAGTACTTTCTCATGTCATTTGAACCCCATAATAAGCCTGTGAAGTGAGCAGGGTAAGTCTTACAACCATTTCACAGATGGAAAAGCAAGGCTCAGGTGGGGTA